CTGCCGAAATTTCTACAAAAATATTGAAACTTTTATTATAGTGATTTTTATGTCATAATTTTTAGTACAAATTCAATTATGTTTTAAAAATGAAAAGATTTCTCAATTTAGGAATTAAAGGATGTGTGATAGGGTTCATATCCTGTGACGGTCATTCTTTAATTTGAAGGCATGATGTAAATTTATCCACAAATGTTTCTATTTGTGATATATGAACTGTAATTCAGTTCATTTGCTCATCATTTTAAATTTTATTTTTCTGAACAGATTAAAATCATTGAAAACGAAAGAAAGTAATAAATAAAAAATAAAACAGAAAACATTTGATGGAGATGTGAATAAAGTTTTAAAATTCAATTCTTTATTATGATCAAGCCAAAAAAAAACTAATAATCTTGAAAATATGATCAAGTCATTTTGAAAAATAATTAACCAACTTTTGGTGTCCCAACCAGATATGTTGCCAATTTCAGACACAGTTTTTCCAATTCTGAACTTTCTCTGTGTTATTTCCTCCAGGTTTCTTTTCATGTTCAGCCAGAGCTTCTCTGAAACTTTTTGCTTTATGTCTTACATCAGACAAATCTACATCATAGAAAATGGGAAAAACTCATCGACCCATTTCCTTCATGCTTTCAAGAATGTGTTGTAGTTCATTCAAACACCATTTGGAATGTGTATAATCAGAGAGAACCATAATTGCACAACAAGAATCCTTAATATCTTGAAAGATTTAGTTGGATATAACTTCTCCTCTGTCAAGTCCTTCATCTCTAAATGCTCTGGTCCCACTGCTCTTGAAAGCATGATACAAGTGATCTGTCAACTTCAAGCGAGTATCTAATCCTCTAAAACTCAAGAAAACATCACATTTTGAATTTGGAGTTGAATTAGAAGCACCACCAGAGTTTGAGGAAGATTCTCCCTGGACAGTGTTCGCCATGATATCACTATTTTCCAAATAAAAATCACACAGATCTCATTTTCTTCTCTTCTAACTGCTATGACCCGATGCCACTGAACAATGAACAAAAGAGAGAAACGAGAGAGAGATATAGACGAAAGTGGAAATTGAAACGCAACGACTTACTTCACTCTAGGAGACTTCTCTTTACTGACTAGCAATTCCTTATTTAATTAGATCTTATAGTATTTGCGTTTAGCTTGCAAACTTATATACTCCCTCCAATTTCTATTATATAACAACTTCAACTACTTACCATAATGAGGAAAGAGTGATTAAGTTATTAACTTTATTTGAAAATAAAATAAAGAGAAAATTAGCTCAATGCCCTCAAAAAATACAGCTTCCATAAATTATAGATAAGATTTTTGAATATTTTGAAATATGGCCCATTCATAAAATCAATTACGTATATTTTATTTTTTATTCTCAAATTAAATTTATTATTAAAACATAATATATTCATTGTAACTAATCCTTAGCTAACTGAATATTTTCTTTTTTTTTCTCTGAATCATTCCTTTTTTTCTTTGAATAAAAATTGTTGGTGCCGTTCTTTATCACAAAGTTTTTTTTCTCTCTCCCTCTCTATTTTTCCCAGAAACATTATAAAGAGGATATTAGACATTGAAAATGAATTTTGGAAGCAGAAGACTAGGCTGAAATCTATTATCTGTCATCAAATTTTGCTACTACAAAAATACTTTATGTGAGCGCTTATTTTTGCCTTATGGAAAGCGCTCCCAAATCCAGTGCTCTCATATATACAAGAGTGCTTTGTAAGAACTCCTATAGGTCAAGCATATGGGAGCACTCTAATTAAGAGTGCTCCTGTATGTTTGTTATATGAAAGAAAAAAAATAAGACATACGGGAGCGCTCATTAGGGAAGAGCTCCCATAGAATAGCATAAAGGAGCAGTCTTTCTGAGAGAGCTCCTGTAGGTTCCCATACTGGAGTGCTCCCAGAAAGAGCGCTCTTATATGGTGCCTTACATGAGCGCTCTTGTATGGTGCCTTACAACTTCGGTATTGTGCCTTACAAGAGCACTCTCTCTGAGAGCACTCCGATAGGTTGCCATATAAGAGTGCTCTCTATGATATTCTACGGGAGTGCTCTCCTAATGAGCGCTCCCATATGTTTTTTATTTTTTTAATTTTTTTATCGTGTTTAGCTCATTGCAAATGACAGCTATTCTATAACAATATCAAAAAAAATGAATTTAGCAATAATACAATTAAACATTAAAAGTTATATACAATTAAAGAACTTGAAATTAAGACAAACTAAGATCAAAATTCTAACTTATCTAATCTCTAGCTAAGTAACTAATAAAACTTTTAGTACTTTTCTAACATTAGATGTTACCTATCACAAACAACTAATTATATATTCTAATCACTCTTCAATCACATCTTCTATTTACTACATGGTGAAATGCAAAGATCTTGCTCCAAAAAAATACTACAAGAAAAATCAACATATAGTTAATTCTCTATGTTATATGTAAGACATGAATGTAACTTTGAATACTTACATTTAGCAGAATGATCAACTCTTATTGTGTGATTATTTCTTTCATAAACTTCAACACATTGTAACCACACTCCTAGCTTTTTTATTTGTATAGATACCTATTAAAACAATAAATTAAGATGTAATTATACAAACATGTTAGAAACAAAATAGAGCTAATTAACATTTTAGAGATCAAGATATGAATCTACAGATCAAATTTAAAGAAAATCTGACAGAGCCTCCCTATAACTTGGATGTTCTAGAATTTTTTAGAAATTCTGCACTAATCTAAAATAGCATATTTAAAATAACAAATATAAAATATTAATTGAACAATCATTTTATATACATAACAAACATGCTTTGTTAAGCAAATAATACAAACCCTTATTTTGTTCCATGTATAATACTCAACAGGATCACTCTTTTATGTATTTGGAGGGAGACCTTCACCATTTCAATAACGTGCTACGGCTCTACCATAATTAAGCATACTAAATGAAATTATGACTAATTGTTATAATAAACAAGTATAAAGAATAGAGAACCAAATGCTTACTAATTAAATAATATCTTCATAGACCTATAATTTTTAAGCTCATTATCTTTTAATGAGTCAAAATAATAAATTACAGGGATGAATGGATTGATACAAGCGAGTATCCATGTTACCTGAAAACACAAAATATTATATTAAATCAAATGTCAATCAAATTTAAAGGAAAATAGAAAACAACTCACCCTGGATTGTGAAGAGTTAAAAATAACATATTCTTCTTTCCTTTGGCCTTAAATGCATTAGCAATTTTTGAGAATGATGATTAATGTTGTATGTACTTGTGTTTTGTGGGCTAATGAATGAAAATTTTATCATCAATGAGCTTGGTACAATAAATGTATAATACAAAAACCTACAATGAAAAAATAAAAAGATCATTATAAATAATAAATAAATACCACAAGTAACAAAGCTTAGAAACTACCTAACATATAAACTAACTACTATGATTTGTAGCCAATCCTTTGTCAGAATATTATTAATATTTTATGCTCCTAATCTTTCAACAACCGTCTCACCATAAATCCCCTCATCCATTTCCATTTCATGAATGGCATTATTTTTAAATGTTGTGTGCATAATCACTCTAAATGCATTTGATTAGGATATCTTAGTTGAGTAGATTTTGTATCAGTCTTTCCTGCCTTAGTTACAGAGGTAGATCCTTTTGATAATTTCTTTTTTATTTGACGGGCTTATGTACTATCCCTTTGGCTTTTGAGGTCTGTAAAATGTAAAATTAATTAGTAAGATCAAAATTAAACATGGATGAGATTTTAAATAATAGACAATTTTCATACCCTTAACTTGATGAGCTTTGTAGGTCAAGCCATGTAAGTGCCAGCAGCATCAGAAATAATGAATATATCCTTATCTATTACTTGCACTAGTAGTTTGGCATCATTTTCTATTGGTATATTTATGGTGACCTATAAGTGATCAGCAAGCATCGGTTTGCTGTGGATAGAACTACTATTATCATTATACACAGATTCG